GCAATTCGGACTTTGAGATGAAGGGAAAGAAACATAAAAGCTTTGAAAATGGGGGCACGGGGGGTTCTTTCATCACATTTCTGTTGTCATTTTTCTGAGAGGGAAATTGAAAGTGAAGTCCCAGGAAGAGTAATCAAGTAGAGGGAGGAGAGGATTGAGATACTTTGAGAGATTGTGTGCTTGTTTCTTCAACAAAATCAGGAGAAAATAAAGGAGAGAAGTAGTGGAGTTATTATTTTATTCTTTTGTCTTATATTTGTAAGATTTTTGTGCTCTAATTTTTATTTGAATCAAATGATTTATTCTGAGTGTTCAAGCATGCTTGGTGAGTAATTGCCCTTTCTTCTTTGAGATGGGGATAGATGATAAATGTATGTCATAGTTTCTTTATGTGACTTGAATGAATAGTGATTAACTTTTTGCACTTTATTTACATTTCATTTTGGTCAATTGAGGTGTTAATATTAATTGTGAGTTGCAAATCTCAGAAGACATGGTAATATAATTGATTGAGTTAATTACATTAATTTTCTGGAATATGAATAAATCTACTAAGTTAATACGAACTTATAAGGAGATATTTGTGCATGGGATAAAGGTTGATATTAGGGAACTAATCCGATCTTTAGCCAATCTTTCTTATTCCACCAGAAGGGGGTAAGAAACAAAATTGCTCCTATTTGTCATCTGATTTTTTATCGAAGTTTTCACATACACTTTCCTATTGAACCTTTCCAAGGGAGAATCTTCTTTCATGCTCGAGTAACTTTTCAAATTAATTGCTAATAATTTGGGATACTTATGTAGGATTTTAATTAGACCAAACTTTCATGCTTGGGCTAACAATCGTTACACTAGAACTTTTCCTGAATTGAGATTTCCTCATCCCTGTAGGATCGACAACCAGACTCTAATCCCGGTACTACAGATACCCCATGTATACTTGTGTGAACCACTCCTGCTTCACAGCACGTGATGTGCGTCAGATTCCAAGAGGATCAAGATATTTTGGTGGCAGGGCCCTTCTATTCTAAATCATCGCTATCATGGGATCTCCATTGGTACTAGATAACTCTTTTGGCTACATTTAATCAAAGCATCATCATTTCTACTATATCTTGATCAATAATATGCTGAAGTATTTCCAATAAGACCACTACCCCATTCATTATAATATAACATGTTGGACTTAGGATTTTGTAAGGAGTTTGTAAGAGCAATCACTTGGTCAATCAAACTATGAATCACCATAGGCATTATTATTATTATTTTAATATTAATCTTAATAGTTATCTCATGTCCCCTAGAATCAGTGCCTCACATTCCATATAAAATAAGGTTTTGGTTCCGTCCGACATTAAATATTATTTTGATTTAATATAAAATCCTAATGCAAATTAAATAATTAAATATCTTATCTCGCTCAACTTGATAAATAGTAATTAATACGCATTTGACGGCCAACTCGCTCAACATTCAACGCCATGCAACGCACTAAAAAAACACTTACTGACACCGACAATTGCACAAAGGGGCATTTACATACATACCACCCAATTTCTATCTATTTACATATCTCATTGCCAAATCTTTAATAGCAGATTTAAAAAAGGGGCAATTACATGCAAACCACCCGAAACTTGCTATTTACAAATCCACCACCCACTTTCATCCTTTTTTCAAATTCTCGCTCAAATATAAGAATTCACGGTAAAATCCCAACCGTTATTTTGCATTTTTTTTATCAAAGTCTCACTAATTTGATTGCCGCACATGTAAATAGATCGATTTCAAGTGGTAATTTATAAATATCAATATTTCTAAAAAGTAAAAGAACGAAAGTGGTAGGAATGTAAAGAAATAGAAATTGAGGGGTATGCATGTAACTTTTGCTAAAACTAATTAAGGAATTGTGGTAATTTTAAAGCATTATGAAGTTTTGAGGCACATACATCTCCATGATTAAAAAAGCCATGTGAGAACCTTCGTTGCCTGCACATGTCCTGTCCACGTCGCGGTCTCTATCTATTGCTCCTTTTTCTAATATAGAATAACCCTTTTTTAAAAAAAAATATTCTATTTTCCTTTATTCATTCATAAACATTTCTTAATTTTATAATCATAATTTCGAGAAAATCTATTTAAAGTCCAGGAATCTACACCTTTTACAATCATAAAAATTCCTATGCTCGCTCAGCCGTGGAAAAAATTTAAGACTGATTAGCACCAATGATTATAATTAAAATTCACAGCGATAGAGTAATAGTATATCGAGAATTTAACACACACTCAGATAAAAGAAAATAATCAGTAATGACGTCAGAATTTTTTTACGTGAAAAACACGTAAAGGGAAAAACCACGAGACTCTGATCCAGATGTGAAAATCCAGTGTAGGTTGATGATTACAGACACCCCTTGTCGAACAGACAGAAAACAGTTACTGATTGTCAAAATTATAACGTTGACTGATGGTTTTCGATCGGTGGCGGTCGATGGTGATTGGTGTTGAACGATAGTGGTCAGCGGTCGACGATGGTCGGTAGTGATTGACGGTGACAGTAATGCTCGATGGTGGTCGATTGCAATAGGTGGGGGTTGTTGGTGATCAAAGGCGGTCGGCAGGTGTTCAAGGAGGTCGACGACAGTCTGCGGTGGTTGATGACGACTATCGATGATGACAGTGGTGGAGCTGGACTTCAACTCCTTCTCAAAGATGTAAGTTCTATCTCTAGCCTCAAACCCCCTCTCATGAGAAGGGTGAGACTCTATTTATAGCATTTTGAATGCAATTACTGTAGAAATATGAACCACTTTGATCTGACGGTCCGAAGAATTTCTTTCGATCAAACGATGTTTGGACATTTGAGTGCCTTAAAGTTGTCACAATTGAGCAACCTTTGGCTCGTTGGATTCGTCATGTCGAGACATTCGATTCAGTTATAAGCTTGCTAGATTCAATATTCATTTAACCTTCTAAATATGTTTGGAAAATTTTTAAAGGTGATTGAACGACTTGATTTGAGCTTGATTTGACTCAGATTGAACAAATTTTGACAAAATTGGGTTCTTCATGTCGAGCCAGCCAATTTGATTGTAAATTTACTGAAATCAAATTTCTAGATGAATTTTTATCGAGATTTGAATCTTTCTTCTTTAAAAAAAAATATCATATCGAGATTTATATCGTGCCGGTATTCTGAATATAATGATAATTTTTCAATTTAAAACATATTAAAATATATTTTTTTTAATGGCAGATATACTTCCAAGACATTTAAAACATTAAGTTTTATGAATTTAACACTTAAAACTTTACTAAGTTATATTATCTAGCATTTAATAGATCTGAGAGATATTCAGCAATCAGGTGAAAATGCTGACTAGGATTAGACGTCAGCAACAATGATTGAGTAAACGAGCCGAGTTTGAACTAAGTGTTGATTTTTAAGTTTGAGATGGCATGTGCTTAACATGTTCTTTGTGTTGATTTCATTTATTTGATCGATTGAGCTCATATTTGACTCAAACTTGAAAAGAATGACTTAAAAATAATAATTTTTAAATAAAATATGAAATTATATAATAAATATTATTATTTAATTACTTAATTAATTTGAGCTAAAATATGCCAAACTCAATCGAGTAAAGGTCTATTTGTGTTCGGGTCATTTAAATATAGAGCTAAAAAAATTGTTTGTTTGGCTCATATTTAATCATGTTTTTTTTCATAGACTCATACCTTAAGATAAGAGCTAGCAAATGAAGGGATGGTGAGCTGATAAGAATAGTGGGTCATAGTATGAAGGTTCGTTCATTTTACATTAATTCCTCCCATTTTTATAGGATCATTTCTCTATAAAATATAGATAGGCTATAATTACTATGAGAGCTTTAGAAATATCTGACCACTAAAATTTGTCATTTGTTTTTGTCTCCAACATATACATAACATTATCTTGTCTTTTCCTCTTCTAGTATTGTATTTGATCATCTATCCTCTACATGGTTTGATGGGTCACATCCAATATCCATTCATCCTCTTGCTCCAAAAGAGCCCTAAAACATGCTTGCCCTTAAAGCAATGAAACGAGCGTTAGCTTTGCAGGATGTCCGATGGAGTTGTCTCAAAAATACAATCAACACAACCATGTTGTACAGATGTTTGCATACATATATTACCCACACCTAATAAGTATTCGATCGATGACAAGGTATTTGGTAATGCAATGAAGTTATTGAACGAATCCTTCCCTGATATGTGTTGTATGGGCAATGTTCGTTCGGTGGTCGCTCGTATTCAACTGCTCATACATGGACATCCATGCCTCGCAATAGTGCTCAATTATTCATACTTGGCTAGTTGTATTCGACTGTTTGCATTAGACTACTTGCGAAACTGAATCTCTTAATAAATTAGGCCAAAATAAACCGCTAAGCTTGCTTAAACCCTTACTAGCCCAATATGACTGTTTTTTTGTCAAGGGTTATTCATAACTTGCTTGTTTACTTTAACAAATGAATATAATATAAGTTATTCAATAAATTGAATAAGAGTTGTTCATGAATGAAGCGATTTTTTTATAGTTCTAACAACAACTGAGATCATGCGAATCAGTGATAACAAAAGTGAAGCTAAATTTTGTTCTTACTTTTATTTTAAAGTATTGATTACTATAGACTAAGTCATGAAATTTAAATATGAAATATATAAATACTCTTTTTTTTTTAATCTTGTTTTTGATATAAATCCAAAATGATTTATTACTTTTCATAAGAGTGAAATTCAAAGTAATGAAGAAATCATGAATGAATTCTCTTCTTTAGACAATTAAAAAGCAATTTTTTTAAAAAAAAAAGATTATTTTTAACCTTTTTGGCAAAAGACAGATTTCCTACTTTGCCCAGCACTCCAACGCTTATTGTGTAAAAAAAAAATTAATAAACTTTTTAACCAAACAAGAACAATTGATTAGAAGAATTCCACTGGAATAATATAATCCACCGTTGATTCCTCATCCCCATCGAAATCCACGGCGGATCCTTCTCCTTCTCACTCCGCACAGCATCCGACCACCACCTCCTGGCTGGAGCGAAATAGACGCTTCACCAACCTGCAAAATACCGCCTAATCCTTCTCTACTCCCTTAAAAACCCTACTCTAGACTCACCACCACTCCTAACCTTCCATCATCAACAATGGACTACGGAAAGCTCGGCCCCTCCGAGTCCATTCGCTCTAGCTTTTCCGACCCGACGCAGGCCCAGCCCACCACCCTCCGCCACCACCGCCGCCGCCGGCGTTTCCTTCTGTTGGGATTAACGGCCACTCTGTTCCTCGCAGCCTCCGCGGCCTCGGTTGCTCTGCTTCTCCGCAGCAAGACAAACCGCCGCGCAGGGCTCAACCGAAGCCCAACCCAAGCAATTTCACAAACTTGCAAGCTTACCCAATACCCCGAGCTCTGCATAAGCTCGCTTGTAAACTTCCCTGGAGCGCTCGACGCCGGCGAACGTGATCTCGTTCATATATCCCTGAACATGACCCTTCAACGCGTCGGCTCCGCGCGCTATGCCGCTTCCTCCATCGCCGGCGTTTCAATGAATCAAATCGCACGGTCTGCGTATGATGATTGCGTCGAGCTGCTGGATGATTCCGTTCACCAGCTCAGTCAATCTCTCCTGGTCGTCGCCGGCGGCGACGGTGCTCCTTCGGACGAGGATGCGCTCACATGGCTAAGCGCGGCGCTCACCAACCAGGACACCTGCGCAGAGGGCCTCGATATGGTGGATGACAGATATGTGCAGGGGCAAATGACGAACTTTTTGAAAGATCTCGCGGAGTTAGTGAGCAACTCGCTCGCAATCTTCGCGGCAGCGAGTCGGAACCAGGATTTCTCCGGCATTCCGATTGAGAATAGGAAGCGGAGGCGATTGCTGGCATCCGGGTTTCCTGATTGGGTGAATCCAATTGACCGGAAATTACTTCAGACGCCGGGGGATTCAATTCAAGCAGATTTTATTGTGTCGAAAGATGGCAGTGGGACTCATAAAACCATTGGCGATGCTGTAAAAGCTGCTCCTGAAGGTAGCTCCAGGCGCATCATCATCTACGTGAAGGCTGGGCGCTACGAAGAGAACATTAAAGTCGCGCGCAAGAAGATTAATCTCATGTTCGTCGGAGAGGGCATGGGGAAGACCGTCGTCGCCGGCTCCCGCAGCGTGTACGATAAATTCACTACTTTTCACACGGCTACCTTCGGTATGTTAAAAAAAAAAAAATGATTTTTACCTCTTTTTTTTCTGTCTGAGGAATTTCATCAAACGGTTGGAAGGCGAATGAAAACTTACCTGGATAAACTTGCAGCTTCGACGGGGACAGGGTTCATAATCAAGGAGATGACAATCGAGAACTCGGCGGGGCCCGAGAAGCACCAGGCTGTAGCGCTCCGTGTCGGAGCCGACCGTGCGGTGGTCTACCATTGCAGCATTATAGGCTACCAAGACTCTCTTTACGTCCACTCCCAACGCCAATTCTTCCGCGAATGCGATATCTACGGCACCATCGACTTCATCTTCGGCAATGCGGCTGTGGTTCTCCAAAAATGCAATATTTGGGCTCGGAAGCCAATGGCTAAGCAGAAGAACACCATCACCGCACAGAACCGCAAGGATCCAAACCAGAACACTGGGATTTCGATACACAACTGCAAGATTATGGCGGCGAGCGACCTCAGCGCGGTGAGAGGCAGCGTTCAAACGTTCTTGGGACGCCCATGGAAGATGTACTCGAGGGTGGTGTATATGCAATCATTCATGGGGGATCTTATTGACCCTGCGGGGTGGTTGGAGTGGAATGGAAATTTTGCTCTGAGTACGCTTTACTATGGAGAGTACATGAACGAGGGTCCCGGAGCCGGTGTGGCGAAGAGGGTGAAGTGGCCGGGATTTAGGGTGATTACAGAGGAGGAGGAAGCGGGAAAGTTTACCGTCGGAAAATTTATCTATGGTTCCTCATGGTTGCCGGCGACCGGCGTCTCCTTCATCGCCGGCCTTTCAGAATGAAAAAAAAAAGCCTTTTTTATTTTAGTTTTAAGACCTTTGTTTTTTTTCTTCTTATAGTTTTGTCGGCTTGTTGGCGTCGGTGGGAGTCGTTGTGTTGGTTGTAAGGGGGTGGATATGTAATTTGTAATTTCAGTTGGGGTTAGAAGAAATTCTCACAGGAAGAATAAGGGGATAGAATTCCTTGCTGGATAATAATTGTACATGTGGGTGTCTATATCATTTTTGTTGGGGAGGTTATAATTAATAAGCTTCACTTGGTTGAATAATTAATGTTTTATTTTATTTTTTTGTTATTTTTTTGGTTCTAATTTTCGGTTTAGTTGAAATGAAGGTAGGAGTGAAAAAAATATGCATATTTTTTCATTTTTTTTGACTTAAATATAGGATTAATACAATATTTATTAACATGCATGAGCATGCACTTAAGTGCATTCACTCATTAAGAAGCTAAAAAATCTTCATGCGACAAGTAGGGGTGTAAACGAGCTGCTCAGCTCGTGTTCGGCTCGTTTACATTTCGAGCTCAAAAAGTGTGTTTGTGTTCGGCTAGTTTGCTTAACGAGCCAAACACGAGCTGTTCATGAACAAAGAGTCATTTTACAACCCTAATCATATAGCCATAAGACAATAAGTGTTTAAACAAGATTTAAAAATTATTATTTATATTGAAACATCATTTGAATCTAATTTAATAATTTTTTTTTCTATTTTCTTAATTAATATTTTAATTAATTATAAATGTTTGTAGCCTTGTAGTCAATTAAAATTTTTTAAAATACTACTTAATATATAT